GCAGAAGTCGGTTTCATAACTAATTGTGTGGTTTAGGCTATTTCTCTCCGTCTTTATTGGTAGGTGGAGGTGTGAAAATTACCAGATGAAACTGATGGAAAATTAGGTTCAGTGCCTTTAGTTTGAGGAAAGTACAAGAAACACCATCTAGCTACTAGATTTATTTTGGTAGTTTCAAAACCAAGATAGTTTGTGGAGAATGATTAAGGGCAAGTTTGAGTCAGTAATGGTACTAGTTTGTTAGGTATCGCTTTTTAATAACAAATTGAATATCCTTTTTGAACATATCAACACCTACAATCCATCTTGTATTGGCATCAATTCACATTGATACCAATCCAACGATTAAAAGTAACATTGCACATTATGGAACCATTACTGATTTAACCATGTTAGACCAGTACAAGCTTAGTGTAAAAAAAAGGCCATTACTTAATGTTGGTCCCAACTATTTGGGGTTTTGGGAAGAGTAATAGATATGATCCTAACCTTTGCCGTTTTTTGGCAAAGTGCACCGCTTGCAGAACCTGCATTCGCATGCTTGTCACTTGTCAGCCCAAGATTTTATCATTAGAGTAATACAAATTCAGTAAAAAAAAAAAGGTTATTACCTAATACTGGTCCCATCTATTTGGGGTTTTGGGAAGAGATCAATACCGTCCTAACCTTTGGCATTTTTTTACACAAAGTGCACGGCTCTCAGAACTTGTGTTCTCATGCTTGTTAGCCCAAGATTTTATCATTAGAGTAATGCAAAGTCAGGGTCTTTTTTATTTGCACAAAGGATTCTACTTGCAACTATATCAAGTTCAGGAAAGGTGATTACCAAACTGCAGGAGAGATATCAGTAATTAATAACCAAAAACTTCAGAGGAGATTTCAACAATTTACCCTATTAGTTATTACCAATATTATTAAAGATTCAGCTTCGGATCTTCAAATTGGAGACTAAGAAAAATAGAAGAAACCCTGCCATAAACTCATAACATATTCCCAGAGGAAAATGACAAGGACCATATGAATTATAAGTTTTTGAGACGTTATATATAGGTTCTAGTGAAGCTTCTGTGGGGTTAGAAGTGAGAAAACTTTTATATGATCATCATCTTTTCATTTTTTTTCTAATTACAATATTATGCATAAATAATAGTTGGATGCTTATCTCTCTAACCTAAGTGGTTTTTCAAAAGACTTCAATTTGATAGAAAAAAGTAAGATCATAGAAGACCCACCAATTCCATAAGGCCCTACCAGTCCATCCCGACATCATGATTTTACTAAGAAAAGGTATTACATATAATTATAGTTAGGATATATATATAGAGAGAGAGAGAGAATGAATTAGCAAGCTAGTAAGTGACAAAGCAACCCAGTAATTCTTAGCCATGAGGTCTGGCCAGGGAACTACAACAGCCTATAAAGACTAGTTGAAAGGGTTGGTGTTAGGCTCTTGAGGGCACTATGTAACCCATTTGTGTCAAACCACTAAGGCCTCATTCGTTTCGTGGATTTTAGTAGGGGGAAATAGGTCAATAGAATCGTGATTCTCATTGGCCGACTCTCTCACATAGAGTAAATGCTTAAAATATAATATGTTTAAAAATACCCATTAAAACAATATAATCTAAAAAGCATGCACTTGGGCCTAAGGTCAAAATGACAAAACATAGAAAATAACCACTTACCCAAAAAAGTGGGTGAGGCAGAAGAATATGGGAAAGTTAAAGAGTCTCATTTACCTGGGTAAATTTAATAAAAAAGAACATAGGTAAGTGAACTTACCTGGGCAAATAGCCTCTTTGTAAACAAAAGGCCTAAATGGAATGGACATATTGCACCCCTGACATAGTATTTTGTGAGTTTTTTAATAAATTAAGCAAATACCTGCACAAATATAGTGGAAAAAATGCACTCTGGGTGGAAGTTGAGACAAGAAAGAGGTCCATTTGGCAGCTTGGTGAGGGAGGTGGGGGGAGAGATGAGGCTATTTAAGTGGCATGAATAATGATACGAGGTGGGGAGGGATGTGTAGACTAGGGTTTGATATTTTAGAAAAGGAGGAGATCCGATCCACATCTAATCCGTATTTGTATTGCTTTGCAGTACACTGCAAAGACAGCTTGAGAATTGAAAAGATGGTGTCTGTTGGTGACTCACAGTGTCCTCTCGTGACTAACAAAGGTGAGGCTTTCGTTGGTTTGGGCTTTCAGGTTTCCTTGTCATGGGCCCCGGCCCAAGTTATGGACGTGGTCCCTCTTCTCCCCCAACTGGGAGCGACAAGCAAAGAAAATCTGCTTCTAAGTTTAGCAACTGCTTTTTGTATCTCATTTATTAGTGTTTTTTATGTGGCATAGAAAGTACAAACTCCCTCCCATCTTGGAGACTCAGCATCGACCTCACTTTCTTTTCTTTTTTTCAGCCCCAGTTTCAAAACTTTAAAATTAAGGATCATTTTATTATTCACAGCAATCACTACCATTTCAGCAAAAGTCATTTCTTCAAATAATTCAGCAATTAATTATACAGATTCCCTAAAGATATTTGAACAAATAAATCTTCAATTTTCTTAGAATAATGATTTGTCAGCTCAATCATCATCAAAGTTAAAGAGAAGAAAAGTTGATAAATTGCTTATCTAATTAAAAAATCTTACCATGATCAAACGTTCAAGGATCTGATCCCCCCACTCACCCAAAAAATGGAAAAAGTAAAAAGGAAGCCAAGGTTTATGTGAATGTATGAAGTTCCTTTTTTCTTCTTCTTCTTCTTCTTAGGTTTTCTGGGGACAGAATGCAGATCTCTGTAGACAGATTGGGCTACTCCATTCAAAGTCACACTCGTGAGAATGGGCAGGAGCTTGGGTTGTTGTAGCTATATATAAAAACTCAAAGTTGCATGCTTTAACAGTTGATTCCTAGGTTGACTCTGTAAATCAAAATATATATTATTTCCCTAATCGACACGTCCAGAAACAAGATAACGATCAAATCAAACTTTGGGCTATGGATACGTTTAAATGCTCTGAAGAATTCGCATGGCTGATGAAGCTGCATCACTGTATTTGTAATCTGAAGAAATGGATGGATATCGCCACATGTCCACACTAAACCTCATATTCCTTTCGCAGTTGAAGGGCTGAATTGATTCTTCCAAGACATCATCAAGGGTTTATTACACCCTCCAAATCAATCTGATTGGTCTGCAACAGGACTCACAGATACGAGAGTGGCTTAAAAAATTCGATAAGTTCCTTTCGTGATCGAGACGTGTGAGGCGCCAAACTCATTCACTGCAACATCGCCTTGAATCAAGCAACGACTTGATCATAAATCTGACTATCTGAGGGGCCCGGCCTTAGCCTTACTCTCTAATATATTAAGATGCACTGCGTGCATTTAAGTAAGCAGCTAACCAGGGTTGGTTCTCACAGTTACATGGAGTTAGAAAGAATTGCAAAAGAAATGAAACCTGGAGAGTGGAGACCCCTTTTGTGAACCAGGGAGTTTGAAGAGAATCAGGGATATTCTGATAGCTCTCTCTCTCTCTCTCTCTCTCATAGTTCCTGAGGATTGTATGGTGGGATCTGTCCTTTGCTCAATGCATGATGCAGTGTTCACTGTGCAACGTACTACCATAATATATGCGCATGCATTTATGTATGTTCAAGTTGGAATTTTTATATTTGATCTGCATGTTTCCAATCCCATGAAGCAGAATAGATGAACTTTAATTTGTGGGTTTTATGTCTGCACCATTTTACACTCATCAGAGAAGAGAAAGGAGAAGGTTTGGACCCAAAGAGGAATAGGACAGATTGGAGAGGGAGAAGGAATGTCTCCTCTGGTGCTCTTCTAAGAGGCCTCCAACTCCAAGGCTACAACCTATAATTGGATAACTTCTATCATTTCTCAATTTGGGTCCTACACGTGTCTCCCACAACTTCTAATAGTGACACGTCATCCAACTTCTAGGCAGACAAATTTGCTGAAATGGCACACACCTGGCACCAAAGTTCTTACTATAATCTGCACTTCTGCAGAAATTTCTATCCACAAAATGACCATTCTTGGCCTGCCGTTAATGATCTTCTTTTGAAGAATGAGAAATGCCCATTAGCAAAACATTTTGGCATGTTATAGTTAAAAAAAAAAAAAAAACGAACGAATAAGCAAGCATCATTTATGCAATCTGACTGTCAATCATCCTATCTTTTGTTTTCATTTGAAGTCATTTTAATATGATAGATTATAACCCAGAATTACAGTGTCTTGTAGTTAGAAGTAGATAGAAGGGGAAAAAAACTTAAAAAGCTAGTATTCAAATGTGATGGCCTGTAGAGTTCGATTAGAACTTTTGTTCTTTCTCTGCACAAGTGTGTGGTGGGTCCAAAGACCCCTTAATACAATAGGGTAACCATTCAATTTGTTTTCTGAAAAACTGGAAATCGACTAATTAATAGTTTAATTAAGTTTCCTTTACCAATAATATTATATTTTAGGGTTTGTCATGTCCTTGCCGAAAGGGCAAAAAACGTTTTGTTACTGACTGTAGATCATTCATGAAACATTTTGAAAATCTTGTTATTTGTTACATCCCCAGAGTGGCTCATGAATTGACCAAGATGGCAGTGACCCAGAATAAGATAGATCACTGACCTGGTCTGTCAATTCCTGATTTTATTAGGCCTTTATTCTTGGAAGAGATGTAATGATTTCTATTATAATTCAATGGGTAATTTGAGAAAGAAAGAAACCCTTAAAGAATTTAATTTCTTCTTTGTCTTTTTAGACACATTCCCTTCCCTTCTCACTCACAGATCAAGAGCAGTTGTCGACGTTTTGAGTGGGTGAAGGGGAGGAGGTTGTTTAGTTATTAATGTAGGGATGCCCCACTCGCATTATTTAGCGTTACCACTTAGCCTTCCATATGTATATGTATATATATATATATATATATTGAATTCAATTCAATAGCATTGCTAACATAAGGAATATAAGACATCATATCTAAACTTCTCTCCCTCTCCCTCTCTTGTTCTATTCTCCTCTCTCTCTCTCTGTGCTGATTTTACTCCCGTGGCTCTCGCTCTGCTCCGTTTTCTGCTCCATTGAACGAAACAAATATCAAAAACCTACTCCCTCACAAAGTGGATAAGAACCCCTCTTGATCCAACCCACCTATTAAGGAATCCCCTATTTTTAGCCTAATCTTCCCCTCAGAATCTTAGATAAGGGAAAAAATGCTATCACTAAATCCGGCCTAATCTCATTTTATAGAGAGTTTATTTATGAGTTCTATTCTGTGTCAACCAGGTCTATGGGCTTTCACCTCCTGTTTTGTAGTTGCTCTCTCTCCAAGGTTACCAGGATAGTAAGTTAGAGACACAGTTTAACTGCTTTTTGTTTGGAATTCATATTTGCATATATATATTTTGTGTTCATGGACTTTCTGAGAGAAGTGGAAGGCAAGCGAGTTCATGATCGGTTCTTGGACGAGAAGATGAATAAAGCTCCAAGGTGTCTTTGGGTGCCAGGCCCTGTAATCGTCGGTGCCGGTCCATCGGGGCTTGCCGCAGCGGCATGTCTCAAGGAAAGAGGAGTTCCCAGTTTGATACTGGAGAGGGCCAACTGTATAGCTTCTCTGTGGCAGCTCAAGACTTATGATCGTCTCCGCCTCCATCTTCCCAAGCATTTCTGCGAGCTTCCTCTCATGCCATTTCGCGCCAGTTTTCCCACCTATCCCTCTAAACAGCAATTTGTGGATTATTTGCAGTCCTATGCTAACCGCTTCGATTTACATCCAGTGTTCAACGAAACAGTGGATTGTGCCGAGTATGATCACAACCTTGGATTTTGGCGTGTGAGGACTGTGGGACTGAAGAAGGACGACAGGACTGAGTACGTGTCTCGGTGGTTGGTGGTGGCTACCGGAGAGAATGCAGAGGCCATCATCCCAGAATTTGAGGGAATGAGTGAGTTTTCGCGACCTGTTGTTCATACCAGCTCCTACAAGAGCGGGAACGTCTTTCACGGCAAGAGAGTATTGGTAGTTGGGTGTGGGAATTCAGGAATGGAAGTCTGTTTGGACCTCTGCAACCATGACGCTAGCCCATCTCTTGTGGTCAGAGATTCAGTAAGAACACTAACCCATGGCTTTTGCTGTATCATTTTTATCCAAAGTATTAAATTTAAGCGAAACCCATTAGAGATTTTTCATCGTTTCTGTTTCCCATGCTGTGAAATATACATACAGCCGATTTCCAGCTTCTCTCTTTTACTCTCTCTGAACTCTTAACATGAAAGCCGAACCTATAATCAGACACATCTCCTAGAATTCGAAATATTCAAGCAAACCCCAATTGATTAATTTTCAAAGGGAAAGCAACTTAAGCAAGGCCGAGTTTAATAAGATTTTTCACTTTTATTGCCTCCAATCCAAAGCTGTAAGTTGAGCCGGTTCATTCTAAGTGGGCGTTTATTCTCCTATGGAAGTAATATATTATATATAACTGTGTGTGTAACTTTTGTTAGTGAGTTCAACCTCCAACGGATTATTGAATTCACAAGAAGACGAACTCTGACTCTGTTACTAACTTACTATTATTTACTTATTATTTTATAAGTTTTCCTCTTTCACTTTCTCGGGTGCGTATATATTTCACAGAGCCCTATTTATACAAATTGTTATTGTTTCTCTGCGATTTTCCTCTGTAAAGAACCACACTCACACTTCCACTCCCCAGATTGATGACATGCACATATGATAGGGGAATGGGAGGGGGGGCTCACCCATCAATTGATCATCTCTTTCTTTAGTCAATTGTTTTTTTTTTTTTTAAGTCGATCTTCTTTTCTTGTGTTGCAGGTGCACATCTTACCACGAGAGATGCTGGGAAGATCAACTTTTGGGCTTTCTATGTGGTTACTGAAATGGCTGCCCATACGACTAGTAGACCGTTTCTTACTGCTGGTGACCCGCCTCATGCTCGGGGACACGTCCCGGCTGGGCCTCGATCGCCCAGACCTCGGTCCCCTCGAGCTCAAGAACATAACTGGCAAGACACCAGTGTTGGACGTAGGGACCCTCGCCAAGATAAAATCCGGTGACATCAAGGTCTGGGTCCTGCTCCATGTCGTCTTCCTATACTTTTATCTTTACTGTATAGTATCTGGTAGATGTTCTTTCTTTTTGAATTTTGTTTTTCTCAGTTTGTATATCGTCTCAGAGTAGTCTCAACTCTCAAGTATATGGATTTAATCTTGAGTGGTGCAGGTGCGCCGGGGCATAAAGCGACTAACACAGCACTCAGTCGAGTTCGTGGATGGGTGCGTCGAGGAGTTTGATGCCATCGTCTTGGCAACCGGCTACAAAAGCAACGTACCATCTTGGTTAAAGGTAGCTTTTGTCATAAAAGTAGTTCAGTCTTGTAAATAAAAGAAAAAATGAGTTGTCGTTCCACATTGAAAGAAAAAAAAAAGAACTAAAATAAAGGGAGAGAGAGGGATGGGTTGATTGGATTGGATTGAATTGATTTGAAATTGAAATTGTTTTCAGGAGAGAGATTTGTTCTCGGAGCAAGATGGGTTTCCGAGGAGGCCATTCCCAAATGGGTGGAAAGGTGAGTGTGGGTTATATGCTGTGGGGTTCACCAAACGTGGCCTACTTGGTGCCTCGATGGATGCCAGACGGATAGCGCAAGACATCGAGCATTGCTGGAAAGCCGAGGCCAAGCATCATCTCACCGCATTCGGCCGCCCACCACCACAGTCACTGCCATAACCACAATTAATTGTGACTTTATTGATTCCATTTGAGAACTCAGACATCCATACAGATAGAGAAGACTATACATTGAACTAGCTAGAGCTCCTTGAATTTTAAATCTATGGTGGTGGTACCAGACAAGGTGATCCTTCCTTTGAGGAAATCAGAAGAAGAGTGGTTGGATTTGATCAGAATATTTCTATGCCAATTATGTTGGCCTGATGCCTTGGGAATTAGGAGGAGCTGTGACTGAACAAATTGTTTGTTGCCCTGTTGGTAAGGGGACCTCCGACCTCCACCATATTGTACATCGTGTACATTTTGCCATTTTTCTCTAATTAGGCATGACTTTTTTTAATGTGAGAGAGAGAGAGAGAGAGGGAGGGTGTCGGTGTTTTGGTGTTTGTTTCCAAGATGATGGGATTGCTGATTAATGCTTCCAAGAGAGAGGGGGGTTGTTGGTGTTTTGGTGTTGTTTGATTTCAAACAGATTTGGGGATGAAAGTATAGAATTCTAATGTTTTTGCTCAGGATCATAAACCCTGTATTGATATGATATTGATTCTCGATTAAGTTGTGGTACTTAAATGGGCTGTGTCCATCATGATTCATTCTGGGGCCGTTACTGTGCAAATTAATGAATCATAATCTGGAATTGGATGAATGCCATCAGTCAAATACTGCATTCAAACACCAAACCAAAGAGGTGGCCAACTCGATCATTAACAGTCTAATCATACATAGAGTTGGCCATCACTGATCTGAATGCTGCTTTCCAATAATGGAGGTAGTGTATGAAGTCTAATCAAAGAAGGGTCGACACTCCCCAACTCCCTAAACAGTTTAATCAACCAAAGAGGCAGCCACTCTGAACAGTCTGCATTAGTGCATAAGCAAACAATATCAAATGATGCATGTATTGTGACTATAAACTTTGATTGAGTTAGTGGCCCTGCATCATCATGGTATATAGATAAATAATATATCTACATCTAAAAGCAGCAGAGCCCCTCGCTGTTGCTGTTGGTCTCAGGAATACTATATATATATATATATAAAAGAGGGCCCATACCCATACAGAAAGAGAGGAAAGTTGCTCTCAGGGGGGTCGTCAGTTACTGATACAGATATCACTACTGGTCACCTACACTCAACAAGCCGTATGAGTTGTTCATTATCCTTTTTGCCATATGACTTATGTCTGTCATCCTCATCTTGGAGTGTCAAGTCGGCATCACCAAAGGGCACGGACCACAGCTGATCTACTCTATCGAAAGGCCACATACATTGATCTTGGTATATATATATATATATATGTTAAGAGTACTAGTTGAACAAAGATTATATGTAGTGCATTGTACGTACCATGTGGATATACCTGGAAAGGAACACAAAATTGATTGAATATTTCTGCTTCTGAAACTCAGAAGCCAGGTACGTACCCTTTGAAGAAAGGATTTACCTTTGACGATTAATTTAGACTAAACAATAAACAATAGTTCTCGTAAGAAGGAAGGGAAATTTGAAAATGACTTCCAACTACTTTTTTCATGGTGAAGTGACCAACCCATGTACATAAAATTACTATAAGCATATGGTATTTACAAGTAATATAGAGGTATATATACGGATGACAGTATGACTATATAGTGGTACAAAAGGGAGGAATTGGATGGGAATTTAAAAGCTGTGGGTGGTGGGGTTTATTCCGACCGAATAGGGTTGGTGATGAGCAAAAACAACACCGAATCTTTGAATTGAGAATAAAGACTAGACTCCTCACATTTCACATATATAGAAAATCAAAGTGAGAGAGAGAGAGAGAGAAGCTATATATCAAGTAGTATCAACATCAAAGGGTTATATCTTGTGAATCCTAATTAGGGCAAGCAGGGTGGGGCTCCAAATAATTGCGTGGCCCATCAGATCCCAAGTGGCCATCCCCATTGGGTCCCCTTGGCCTTTACTACCGTCAACTGCCGGCTTTTTCTCTTCTTTGCTCTGCCAATTAGTACATATAAAGTAAGGAAGAAGAGGGGGAAAAATGCGATTGATTGTCCAACCACCTCTTACCCAAATGCTATCTTTGCATATTTCATTCACTACTTTTAACTTTTAATTAACAGCCCACTTAATACTTTGGCAGTGTTTATTGGAAAATGACTCAGAAAGCAGCAGCTCCATCGTTCTCACAACGCGCAAACATAATGCTACCAATCGTAGAAGGTAGAACTACTACTGGAATCACTTAACATCATCCACCTGAGTGAAGAAGACTATTCTCTCTTCTCTGTCGATGCCGCCATGTGCCTTCTGAATCACTGAGGAGAAGATGCTTCATCACTAACTAATTAATTAACTCGAGTCCTTCCTTCACAAGTCGTAGTGACAAGTCTAGTAGTCTCTCAACTGCTGCACCGTTATACATAACCACCCCCGAGCTGCCTAACCGTATATACATGGTACGTACAAGCTGGCGATGGTCAGAGTCATTTATATACATCGACCCCGCGGCCAACTCACACTCTTGCGAGAGAGAGAGAGAGAGAGAGAGAGAGAGAGAGAGGCAGATAGCACATGCTCAGAGACCCCCCCCCCCCGAACCAGAAGCCAGCTCTGGACCATCTCAGTGATGGGTTTTGTGCTTTAATTTTATTGTGGGTGGTCCAGACAAATTGATGATCATCACCACCATTTGATTCATATATACCTTCTGTTGGACCATTTTCCATGGCTTTATTGACCTGTACCAGTCGGCATCTCATGATCATAGGGTGAAGGGCATTCAATCTATATGATGAGAATGAGATTTGCCACCCATGGATTCTATTCTAGTCTTGTCCAAATCATCACCTCCTTTAATTTTACATGGCTTCTAATCTCACTTTCTTTAAATTGTAGATTGGTTTCAGATATATGATTATGATCAATTAATATATGTGTGACGTGTGTGAAATGTTATTAATTTAGACAGTTAATTTGCTTTGCTTGTGTATTTTTTTTTTTTTCTTTTTTCGCCTTTCTACCTTCTGGTTTTTGCTGGGTCTTATTGGGTACAGTTACCTACCCACTACCCACCTAATAAAAATAACCGACAAGTACGGACAGGCGCAATGCAGTGGATATCTGAAATTCCACTGCACGAGTGGAATTTGAAATTCAATTATGCTCCGTATATTCCTTTTTTCGAGGAGCAGTGGATATTTGAAATTCCGAGGGTTGTGTTTGGATGGCATGAGTGGAGTGGGATTCCATTGCAGTCCTGATTCCAGGGAATTTAACCCCACCCCCTCCCTCTTTCATTTGATGATTATAAATTCTGCCTGCCTAGAGCACGTCATTCAAAATTGGATATATAGGAAAGTAATTGAATTCGCTATTAATTCTAATTTCACCTCCATCATCAAAATCCAGCCTTGCTAGGTAGATCATCACCATCTAAGACTTGTTGGGGTGGGCTACATGAATCTCGTTTCACCATTTCATTTTGCTCCATATCAATTGTTAAAAGCATGGAAACTTAAATCATTCCTTATTATTTAAGTAATTTTTTTATCTGCCCCATGGTTTTTAAAATCGAACCGGTCAAGGGTTCGGTTATTGGTTCAAACAATTCGATCGTTCGACCTGAATGGTTGGCCCGTTCTAACATAAAAAAAAAAAAAAAAAAAAAAAAATACTTAAAAAAAAATTAAAAATTTTGAAAAATAGTCAAAATTGCTAGAATAGTTCGGACGGTTCGAACGGTTAATCAGTCGGTTCAGCGGTTTATTGACCAAAATCAACAGTTTTGGAGAAAAAAACGGGTTTGAGGAAAAATGAAACTGGTCAAGTGACTAGTTCCCGATTTTTCCGGTCTGGTCCGGTTTTGAAAACCATGATCTGCCCTTGAGTCTTCTAGTTCTTCCAATTTGTAAATGATCACTTTACTTAGCAGAAATATACTCTCTCTCTCTCTCACACACACACATTTATAGGGGTGGAATCAAGCCGAACCAAATATTTAACTATTCAAGCCCTCTCTCTCTCACTCACTCACTCACATTTATAGGGGTGGAATCAAGCCGAACCAAATATTTAGCTATTCGAGCCCAACTTGCTATGAAAACATGAGGGTCAAGTTCAAGTTCAAGCTCGATTTAAGTTAGATACCTGAGATTGAATTCTACTGAACTCAAAGGCCCTATTCATTTACAAATTTCTCATTTACCCAGGTAAATGCAGTTACACAAGTAAATGTTTCTTTGGTAACGCTCACCTGAGTAAGCTCACTTACCCATAATGTTTTGATTCCCAGGTAAATAATATAATGACCTTTTAACCCATAAAAAGCTAATATTAAAAAGGGTAAACTTGTTTTATCATGTTTTATAAACTTTTCCCCTAAGTGGGAAAGTTAGGAGATAGGTAAGTTTTACTTTGGTAAATAAAGTTCTCTTTACTATGGATCCCAATACTTGATTCAAAAAGAGCATTGTAAAATTAGTCAATGGAAAGAGATACCTATTAACCAACTTTCTCCCTCTTATTTACTGGTAAACAAACAGGGTCAAAAGCTCATATTTCATCTTAGTTCAACTCAAGCTTAATTATGAGTCAAACTTCCTATAAAAAAATAAAAATTATACATATAAAAAAAATTATTTCTTATTGTACATATAAATAAGAATTATAAAAAAAATTATTTATTATTATTAGTATCTTAAGATTTGATCAAACACAAAACTTAAAAGTCTTTTGGGTGATGGGTCAAATGGTTTGACCGTTGGGCTAAACGGTTTGATTTTTAACTGCGAGTTGCATAAAGTATAAAAATGATTTTTAACTTATAACATAAATGTTAGTGGCGACTAGATGGTTAAGGTGTTGCTTTTTAGCATAAATAAAATGACCAGGACTCAAGTTTTGCTACTTGTGGATACATATTTAATCAATATATAATATATAAAAGACATATAAATGAGAATAAAATGAATGATGACTTGATGGTTTGACATCAATAGATACAATTATGAGGCCTTATGTTCAACTTCAAGCTTTGCCATTTGCATTTTAAAATATGTGTATTTAGTGACTTGGGTGTTTCGTTGAAACCTGATCAATTTTCAACGGTTCCATTGAGTTTTGACCGGTTCTTCTGTTTTTTTTTTAATGAAAATTGGGGTTTAAATAATTGGATTCCCTTCCAATTCCCGGGTTGAATGGTCAGCCATCCGATCCAAGTCTTAAAACATTGATTGTTATGCATATAAAAAATTAAAAATAGTATTCATAATATAAGCTCGGTTAAGTTTAGGAACTTCATGAACTTGGAGTCAAGCTTGACTCAATTAACAAACAAGTCTATATATTAAGCTTGAACTCCACTCTAAGTTTGGTTTAGACCGAGTGAAATTAAACTTTTTACAAGTCAAACTTGAATAACTCGTGAAAAACTCAATTCATGTTCACTCATATTCTCCTTATCATCTATTGGAGTTATTAGTACATTTTTTTTTTTTGGTATGACTTCATTTTTAATCGTGTCCCTTCTAACTTTTCCATTCATCCATTTAAGCATTACATTTCTATCAT